GAAGGGAAGGGAAGGGAAGGGAAGGGAAGGGAAGGGAAGGGAAGGGAAGGGAAGGGAAGGGAAGGGAAGGGGAAAGGTGGAGAGAAGTGAAAGAAAAAGAGAGAGAAAGAAAGAAAAAGAAAGAAAGAAAGAGAGAGAGAAAGAGAGAGAGAAAGAGAGAAAGAGAGAAAGAGAGAAAGAGAGAGAAAGAAAGAGAGAGAGAAAGAAAGAGAGAGAGAAAGAAAGAGAGAGAGAGAGAGAGAGAGAGAGAAAGAGAGAGAGAGAGAAAGAGAGAAAGAGAGAAAGAGAGAGAGAGAGAAAGAAAGAAAGAAAGAAAGAAAGAAAGAAAGCAAGCCATGGTGTGATAGTCAACTATTTTTTCCATTTTTGTGTAAGTAGCAGCAGGCTTTGGCCATGTGTGGATAAACTGCCTTACCTGCTGAATATAATCCCCTTAGCCAGTGTAATTGCATTTCCAGGTTCACATGTCTCACACACTTCATGGCTCTGGGCAGTGCTATGTTATGTGATAGCAGAGGTTATGAAGGTTAAATTTGGACTAATGAAGTCCTGTTGAAATAAGCTTGAGTCATCTAGTGCTGACAAGAAATTTAATATAAAATGGCATTCTTGGGCAGGAGGAAAATCAAGACTCTACCAATCTGAAAGAGAAACTAGTTTCATTGCTATGAAACTATTTCTCTCCTGGCAGTGCTTGACCAAGATAGCAGGAGTATGTGAGGGGCAAGGCACAGAGCCTGGCAGCTCCCAAACTCACAGGCTGCTCTGAAAGCCAGCTGTGTGGAAGGCACTACACAAATATCAGGTGAAATTAGCCAAAGATGGGCAAGAGGAAGCCCCATTTATCTCCATCTCAGCAATTTCACATGAATGCCATTAGGCTTTGTCCACTTAATAGCATTTGACACACCTTGATATTCTCCTACATGGAGTAAATTAAAAATTAATGATTCCTTGCTTAAGTAAACACACTTCATGTTAATAACCAAATATCAGAGCATGGGACAACGAGGTTTTAATATAAGTTGTTCCAGAAAAGTAATGTTAAAATTGATGAGAAATAATAAAGTTGATGAATAATTAAAAGTTGCTGAAGGCCACCCTCCTACAGATTTCAGCCTCTGCAGAAGTGGGTCCTCCTATCCTGCCAACCAGGTATTAAATGCTTTACTCAAGCTATGTGTTTTGCTAGCAGAAATTCAGTTTTATCTACCTGCAAATTGAATGTTGGTAATTTCAATTTGGAATCATCTATGTGGGAAAGAGAAGTCAAACAAAAATGCTGAAAGTGCAGGAAATTGATTTGGAAATTCATTTCTGACAATCACTTTAAATGAACACTGTATTTGCACAATACTGTATTTGTTTAATGATGAAATTCTTTTTCAATTAATATTCTATTTATTTTTTTTTATTGCATAGTATAATTGAAATATAATTGAAATTTAAATTTTCACCCATTCATAGTGATGCTTTATATCTCTTCTGTAATAAATTTCTACTGTGAAATGTATTTTTTTTGTGTTCAGTACATAAGTTCATAAAGATAAGTATAAGTAGGAATTTATTTCAGAACTTTTTTTTCTAAAAGTTCTCTTTCTTAAGCAATTGAATTAGTCAAGAGACCAGAAAAGGCAAGAACCACAGCTCCTGTGCAGAGACTTCCTCACGTGTGTTTCAAATTGCCACATTATTGTCAGGGGCAGTGAAGTGACCAGCTTTTGCAGTAAACAGACAGTTCTTTTATTAATTCAATATCACATCTCTGTGACACTGAGATTAAATTTTGCTGCCAGTGAAGACCAATGTCATGGTTACTGTGAATGATTCAGACTCAAAATATCCCTCCCTGCACACTCTGACATGCACATTTACATGTTTTATTGGTTGACACCCACTTCTGTGATTAAAGAAATGAATAATTGGAATCATTACTCATCCCTCTGAGCAATGTGGGTGCCCTTTCTTACTTAGGGATCCCAGTGCTGGATTTATTTCCCCAAATGTATGATTGTTAGAATCAGGCAGGCAGCCTGTGCCTCCATGGTTTCTCACAGAGAGGCATTTGGTGACTCCAATTCATCCATCTCACTGAAATCCATGTTTTCCCCCTTTTCAAAGCATCCTAGGTTCTCCAGGGTCTATAGTTTTGCACGAGAGGAGGACTCTGGTATTTAGAGTCCTTTAAACAGAAGTAAGATGACAGAGAATTAAATCTGATTTCAGAATTTAATAGCACTACAAGAGCTAAAAAGATGACCATGAAAATGGAAGTCCCAGCATTTCAGTTCCTTAGACTCTTCTGGTTTTATCTAAAATATCAAGCCTAAAGGATACTGAAGATACCTGCAGGTCAGGCTGATATGTTACCTTTGCACTATCCAGCATCCATTCTTCTCTTAAACAGCCACCACACAGAAACACAAGCAGATGAGAATGGAGCTTTCATGAAAATCTAGCTGATGATGATCCTTTTTAAGCTGAGGAAGTAGTTTGCGGTGTTGTAAATTCAGAACAGTTCTGGGAGTTTCATGTGGCATGAGCTGGTTCCATAATTTTATTTATGATGGGATTTAAAGCATGATATTTTCTTTTGGAATGACTTTTAAGAATGCTAAAATTGCCACACAGAGTAGCTATTCTAGCACCACAATATGACCCATGTTTTGAATTTGCAGTTTTGTACAATTCACAAGCAAATGGGAAGCAGTCCCTTGGATATTTGGGGTGGTTTACATACATAAACCATCACAAGCTAATTAACCATGTACGTTTTTTCTGCATGGGAATGTTACTATCTTGCATGGGTTTCAAACCTACTGCTCTTTTTTCTGCATGAGGTACATTTACTTACTGGTAGCTGAGTAAAGTTTCAGTGTGACACCAGGTCGGTAGGAAGGTGGCAGAGACAGTACTGTGGAAGGCAAATCTAAGGAGAGGGAAAAGAATAGAACTTGCTTTGGCACCTTAAAACAAAAAGGCAGCTTGGTTAAAGGAGCAACAGAAAAGAATAAAAAAACTAAGCCTGAACTCACAGTTCATTAATAAATATTTACATAGACAGTGATGTATAAACACATTGTCAGTCATTTATTTCTATATATTACTTTCTATTTCATAAATGTGCCAACTGACACACTTTGTTGCTATCCAGACCAGTCTTACCTGGCTCTGTTTGCATCAGTTGGCTGGTTTCTTGTGGAGACACTGACTGCATCCAAAACATGGACGTGTCAGCTGTGGGAACAGACACACCCTTCCTTTATTATTTATCTGTCTGCTGAGAAGAACTGCTACGTGTGAGACAGCTCAACAGCCAGAGCCCCTCACCCAGTACTGCCAGTGACATATGAAAATGCCAGGATGAAATAGGAAGGACAAAAACTGCACTTGACTAGAACTTGAATAGCCTATGCACTAGAGAAGGGCAGGATTTCAAAAAGGCATCAAGAAACCAAAAGAAGCATTTCTCTATTGCTTTTTCACAGGTCTGCTCACCAAATTTGGAGCTAAATGTGAAGGAAGATCCAAGTGGCAGAAGTATTTGTGGGAAGCAAGACCAGGTTATTCCCCTAAAGATAAGAACCTACAGGATTGAACCTATAGCTGATTTTGACATTTCTGCAACAATCAACTCACTGGTGACCCAGAGTGGGTGTCCCTGAAGGGCTCCCCAGCCTCCACCCAGAGACACTTGGCAAACCCCAGGGCAGTGCAGGGGGCAGGTTCCTGGCCATACTCACTGGGGCTGGGCTGCAGGGCTGGTGATGGGGCCAAGCTGCCCCCAGGGCTCAGAGGAGGTCTGGCCATGCCTTGGGGCCTGGGAGCATCCCCATGGGGTGATGGAAACCACGATCCTTTGGCTCCAGCTGTCTTTGGCCACAGTGGGAACTTCGTGGTGGGGAGTCCCCCTCCTTTCTGGGCGAGAGGGGTCCTGGTAGCTGGAGAAGCAAGAGAGACACAGAAAGGGGACCAGCACACTGGGGGTGCTGGTGCCCCAAGGCAGCAGCAACTGCAACACACCAGGGGAGAATAATATCCAAAATACACCCAGAACATCCCATCTACCCCTTGAGTGCTTCTATGGCACTTAAGCAGGCACTTGTCCATTTTGTTTTAAATATGAAAACACAGGGAGCTTCAATAATGTTTGAAATTTTAACTGAGAACATTTTAATGTGTGAGTTTTCATAAACAAAGAGAGAAACTGCAATGTTTCTGCAGGGTTTTGTTTTTTTTCTTGACGTAATTTGTGCTTAATTTCCTGAACTGCTTCACTGCAGTAGAAAGAGAGAAAGGTCTTGTCTGATTGAAGGTGAGCAGGCAGGTACTGGAGGGCAGATGCTGCAGTTTGAGAACAGACACTCGTGGCTATGAGTGATAAGAAAGGTGGGCATGTGGTTTAGGAAATTAAAAAAAAAAAGTTATAAAAGACAGCAGACTGCCTACAGGAAATGCAGGCATTTTGTAGGAGAGAGATGCAGCTGCAGTGACAAGGAGGCATGAAGTCAAGGTCAGAATTTCTATTGATTTCTACTACAAGTGAGCAGGAGCAAAGCCTTGCTTTTTGGTTCCAAAATGGGGCAGAGCAGCACTTTTCTATTTTGTAGCCCCATAGCAAAGTTAAATGTACTAAAGTTTATGAAATGCTCAGGTACAACTGAATGTCATAGAAAGAAATAGAGAATAATACAGCAAAAATTACCACAGAAAAGAAGAGGAAATAGTTTATATATTTTTTTTTCTTTTTTCCTTTTCTTTTTTTAATCAACAATCAATTTTTCTCTTCTTCTCTGCCTCTTTAGAAACTTATTTTTTTCTGGTAAAATGGCTTTTCACAAGAGTTTTTCTATCCTCCAGCTCTTTAATGCATTATTGACATCATTTGCTGATTCAGAGAAATTTTATGCTACCCTTTATTTGGAGTTAACATCACAGTTAACTGCAGCAAATATACAAGATCACTTGTCAAGACATTAATCAAGGGGAACACAGATTTAGGTCTGAGAATATTTGCTCACATTTAAAAGTCCACACATAGTCTGCTGATGAATCCAGTGTCTTGTTTGGGTCTTCCTGCAATTTCACGAAACTTGAGAAAATTGAATCTAGGTATTGGAATTATGAGAAGACAAAGTTAGAGCACTCTCTATCCACTGCAAATTGTGTGGGAAAAAGGAAAGGAATCAGGTTCTGCTACCATAGAAGCAGCTGTTGTTTCTAATTAAAGGGGGCTTTGGCCAAGTGTCATCTTTTTTTGTTTGTTTGTAAAAGGAGAGAAACATCCCACAGCTTTCAGTACAACTTGCCACTGATTTCAGTCTGCCTGAATTAATTTATGCTTGGAAATGGGAGATAGTGATGGGCAACAGTGAAAGATGAGCACCTGAAGTGCAGCTTAAACTGGCAAAGCAGTTTGGGGTGGAGGAGACACAGGACAATGACTGAATGGATTCACCTGCACTCTGAATGTAACCCATGTGAAAGTAGGAGGTCATTTGTGCTGAGAGCTATGGAAGGCACGCAGTCAGATTTAAGAGCACTAGAGACCCTCCCCAGCCCAATGCTGAATTCTCTAAAAGCTCTCATCCCAGCAGGTTTATAACAAATAATTTAAATGTTTGTAAAATCGGCTTACCTTTATGATATAATTATTGTATTAAATTTTCAACAATGTAAAATATTATTCTAACTATAATCAAATGCATAATATTATGCAAATATATAAGCAATAATAAAAAATGAAATAATATTTATAGTAGTAGTAACTAGGATGGAGTACTCATTGCAAGAGCTATCTGGACATGATTTTTACTCTGTTTCCTGTTCTCTTTTATTCCCCAGGATGTACTTACCCAGGTCAGATGATGTGTTACTGGAAAATGTGTAATTAATAACAGGAGTCTTATCTAGTAATGCCAAAAAATCAGACAGATTTTTCCCTGCAAATAGAAATGCTTACAAATATCAAGAAAGGCTTGTTTCCAGTATAAATCATCACTGAGGAAAACTAAGGCAATATTTTTGAGTGGAAAGGTTTTAACTTTTACCTGTCTGCCCTGCCATCACACAGATATAGATACAATCAGAGTCATTGCTCTGATGCACTGAAAGGCAAAAAAAACCATAAAAGATATCATTGTTACCAGTTTTCCTTGCATGGAAATATCTTAAACAGTTGAAAACACAAATAAAAAATGGCATGTGGTATGGCAGCTGACCAAACATTTTCTTTCTGATCTAATTTTTGACAAAAATCTCAAACCACGATCAAATCCAAATGTTAGTATCTTCAGGGAAAAAGTTTCTATCTAATTAAAATACTAAATTACAAGTATTTTTATATGGAAAAAAAATCTTCAGATAAAATAGCCCGTACTAATTCTCTGTGAATTAGAATTGCTCAAAATATTATGTTATAATAATTCTCAAACCCACCAAGTTTAGTAATTATAAAATATTCAAACAACATAAAATAGAAACATGCACATCTCTATATTGCACACATATACATTATATATGTATCTTGTTCCATGTGTTGCAAGAAAAGTGCTGTTGAGTAAGACTTGTAGGCTTTTACCCACATTTTTATGGTTGTTTTCATGCCAGGAGTAAATGAGACAGTTAAGACAATGATAAATGTTCAAAGGAAATGCAAACCTGATAGAATAGAAGTGGATTTGAAAATTTCTGTGAGATAACTGGTGGAGTTTCCAATGATATCAACAAGTAGAGCTGTAAAATCTAGACAACAAATAGAGGAAGTTTATTATTGAAAACACATATCCTATCATGTAGTCAAAAATTCACTCCTATATATGATGATATTTTAGATATATGCTCATACATGACAAAAGTTTAAAATATTTTAAAGGTTAAAATATTTTGCTGGAGAGGACTAAAGAAACCACAAAAATACTTTCAGAAGTATGTTTCAAAGATGATATCCAAAATGACATCTGTGTGTCTAAAAGCAAACTTAAATGGAATTTATCTGTTCAAGAGAACACTTTGAAGTAATGCCCTCCTTAGTCTGTTTAAATGTAGAAGGAGATCTAAAGCCTGCAGGTCTTGCCTGCTGTAATTGCCTGTCTGCTGTGTAGGAGCTTCCAAAAGGCATTGGATTTTTCCTCTGGGGTCTGCTTCAGGCATTCTGATGATTGAGATGTCAGCCCAAGAAAAGGCTGGTGGTGCTGTGGAGGAACTTCCTAGCAGAGACAGGTCACTGGTCTCACTTAGGGAGAGCTGAATTTGAGCACTGAATTTTTACTGCTCTGGAGAATGCTCCAAGCCCCAAGATATTCTGGAATTGCAGCACAAAGATTAAAGTTTCTTTGTTATTCTCCGAGGTAAACTGTGCAATTATCCATAAAGGTTTGTGAGATGCCATGAAAGCCACTGTGGCTTCTGCAGGGTCACCATGTGTGGCAGAGGGTTTGGAGTCTGGTCTGTAGCTGCTGATCTACTCTTGATGCCTTACATTAACCAGCTAAAGAATCCAAACACTCAAATGCCTCCTGAAATATTAAATTCTGTGAAACCAGGGGTGTGAATGAGGATTTCAGGTGAAGGGTTTGCCCAACATTTATACTCCATTCAACTGTTCTATGAAGTGTTAGTGCTCGTGTTTCACTTCTCTTGGGCTCACTGAGGTTCCTGGAAGTTTCTCTGTTGGTGCAGAGAAGCCCTTGTCCATCTCCTCTGGTTTATCTCAGGGGAGAAAAAGGGGCCAAGGTAAGGTACCATATAGTGCTGGTTGTCTCTCCTGTGCTGCAATTTGTATTTCCAAGGAGGCCTTTTGCCAGCCAAACCACACCAGTCACTTGACTGATGGCTCCATCCCAGACTGGCTGGCTGCAGCCACCTGAGATGAGGCTATGGAGTTAGAGCAGCCACTTGTCATGAATTATGGCTGTTGGCCTCAGTGTGGTGGTGGCAATCATAAGGATGAAGTCTGCAGAATTCAGACTACAGCCTTCAGCTCCAAAGGAAATAATTCAGCTTAAGCACATGCAATTGCCAACCTCTTTTGTGTACCCACCTGTCAAGTCATTTGTCACATTATTCAAACAGTAGCAGTAGTGCATAGGGAACTTGCCAGGGTCAATATTTTTTGCATTAGAGACTGGAGGGAGAGACAGAGAAAAAAAATCAGTGTATTGTGGGAGACAAACTGCTCCAGAGCCAAGCAAACCAACACTCACTGTTGTAAATGGTGACTGACACTTTGTGGAAGGCAAACGAGCTGTAAGAGGTGATGCTCAGCAAAGAGAAGTGTTTCTTGGTACCTGCAGAAACACAGGTCCATGCTATTAGTGCTGAGAACAAATAGTGAGAACAGCATGTTTTGACTCTGCTCATTTAGTGTCTAAAGGATTCCCAAGGTGCCAGTATCACACTCATTCCATTCTCATTTCCACTGAAGGAAGTATCATTTGTACTGCTTCTTCCTTTTTATTTTGTTTTTCTTTTAATTGAAATGTACACTAGATTAGAAAAGGCTTTTGAAAGGCGTCCCACAAGTAATTCTATTGTGTTTATATATAAACCCACACTAATTTCCAAGTTCTCTGGGGTAGGCAGCCATCTGCATGATAAATGCACAGAGGTAACATGCTCCTAGAAGTATTTCTGGAGGCTGACAGCACATGTTTACAGCTTCTCCTGCTAACACTTGTAGTGCCTGTTCTCCTGCATGGCTGGGCTGGCAGCTGTGACCTGCCCAGCCCTGTCCATTACCTCTGAGTGCAGTGCCCAGCATCCCATTCACCAGCTCTGTCAGGTTAATAGCAGCCAGGTCCAGGGACTTTGCAGGCAGCTCTGAAAGAAAAGGGGTGCATGAAGGCACAAGGAAACAGCTGTGCACCCCTGTGCACCCTTGTGCACCCACTGCTCACATGTGCCAGCAATCTGCCAGAACGGGAAAACCAAAATGAGCAGATTTTGTACATTTGGGGCACACCAAAAAAACCCTGATGGGAAAATAAAATTCCAGGACCACGGAGATGAGTCTAGGAAATAGCAAGATACAGCAACAGTAGAAGGGTGGGCCAGAATTCAGGTCTGCCAGCTGTGCCCTTGACCATGCCCTTGAGCAGCTGCAGGAGCCTGCCAGCCCTGGCATGCTGGTGCCCTGCACTGCTGGGCAATGGGTGTTTGCTGCCAACAGAGCAGCAGATCTCACCATGCAGGTCACAAAAGCCAGAGAAAGTGCCTTTTGTGAGGCACTTTCCCCAAACCTACATGAAAATACAGATTTTTGGTTTTCAGCTACATTGATGGCTTTACTGCTTGCTACAACAGAATAATTTTGCTGTAGCCAAATCACACTTTTTATCTTGACATGTTTTATTTATATTGATGTTGCTTATTTGTTTTTCTCAAGTTAAATTTTCAAAGATTTTTTTTTGCTTCCCTCCCACAAAGCCATGCAGAAGCAGAGCAGTACAGTGTCTGTGTGAGGGAGGAAGGTGTGTGTGAGAATGACAGAGAGAGGAAGAACAGAGCAGAATGGAAAAAGAAGCACAGAAAGCTGAAATGAGAACAAAATTGAATTTGGGGAGAAATGCAATTTTCCAATGACATCAGTACTATTTATAGCCAGTATGAAGGCAAGCTGCACCCCAGGGCTGAAAGCAGCACATGTCCACAGCATAGAATAGAGAAAAGGAAAAATAAAAGGGAACGAAGATCTGGGAAGGACAGAAAGGAAAAAGAGAAGAGTAGATTTTGGGAAGGACAGGTGTTAACCTGGGTGGGGTGGCCTTTCAGCAGGGGTGGGTTGGGGCTCACAGAGTCTGCAGGAGCAGAGCCCATCTGCTGCCACCTCCATGGCCAGCACAGCACATCCCCCTCCCATTAACACCCAGGTGCTGGGGCTCCTGATGTGCTGCCTCTTACCTGCAGTAGCCAGCACTGCCAATTGCTTCTCTTTCTTATTTTCTTTTCTTAGGCATGAAGCTGAAACGTGAAGAAAGAGATTGAGAAACCCTGTTGAATTTGACCCTTAATAATCAAAATAAAAATATAATAGTAAATATTTGCAGAGATCTTCACTAGGCTTGCACCCAGAATTTGCTGCAAAGTACTGAGTAAAATAAGGACAAATCCAAACAAATCTTCCCTTCTCTCTGCATGTTTGTTAATCAGAGCAGTCATGCAATTGAGGACTGTTCTCAAGATCTGTGTTGCAGGAGGAATGGGCTGAAACTGGGCTCAGGACGTTGGACTGGGTTTCTAGGACTCACTTGGTGACCAGCCAAAGTGTACAGCAGTAAAAGAGAGATTGCAGGCTGAAGATATGTGTTTAGAGATTTAGGTTTCCTATCCCACCAGAGGAGAGCTGAGTACCTCCTAAAAGAAATCCAAAAGGCTCTCCAAAGGAGGCAGTGCTAGAAAATGCAAATCTGCCATGTTTCTATGAAGCTTCAGCTTCTCAGCCCATCCAAGTTCCCCTTTATCTATGTTTATAAAGGATAAATACCCAGTAGGAATGTATAATCCAGGCCTTACAAACTGTGATAGTGTTAATCAGCTGTATTAGCAGCCCTCAATTAGTCAGAGCTAAATTTGGATTGACAATCTAGGTGCCAGGAGCTCTTCTAACCCTTCTCTCTCTTTCCTTATAAACCTTTCTGATTCCAGATTCTTGGCATGGGATCCAGGAATAGGCATCACCTGTTGTGCTCTGCTGAGTGCCAGCAGCCCTGGAGCTCCAGCCTGTCTGTGTTGCCTACACAGGGTGAAAGAACCAGGCCTGCCAGATGTGGGAATGGGGCTGTGGGAGCAGCTGGGAGGGAGGCACTGGTTATTCCCTGGGGAGCACCAGACCATTGTCCTTACCTGTGCTGAAAACCAGGAAGAGACACAGAAATCCCAGGCTCATCTTGGCTGCCACATGCCAGCAGAACCCCTGCATTATGGATGCTGACTTCCAGCAGGTTTGGCTGCCCTAGGAGAGATAAATGTTCTTTTGGTGGTGTTAAAATTTTTAGCATTGAGTGATTTTCTCCAGCCTTTGTCCCAGAATGATTTGACCACAGGAGAAACATCAAATTTCTGTGATGCTGAGAAAGACTGGTGTTGGAAATGACAAAGGAGCACAAGCAATATTTCCTCTGTGCCTGTGGGTGCCATGTGCCTCTTGATTTTTGAGTCCTACCTAAGTGGCTTTTCTGGGGACTTGGTAAGGTTGTCAACACAACCTCCTTTGGCAGGATGAGCTGTGCCTAAAAGGTACCTGAGACATCAAGTGCCTAAAGCTGCTCTGTTAAAAAATGATAAAATTTGTTTATGTTTATTTTAAAACCAGAAATGTCAACTGAGGTTCTTTTCCACAGAAATGTTGCTTTTCTGATCATTCCTGGTTGTGTACGTCTGTAGTTACTATCACCAGGTTATATCCTGTGCTGTTTTGACTACCTTCTTGGTAAGGATTAACAGTGTTCTGCCTTTCAGACATGACTGCTTTCCAGGTTTCAAAGATTTAATTAAGTCTTTGAAAAAAGAAAAAAAGGTTCTTTTCATGTTTCCCCTGTTTTTGTAATATCAGAACATGTCAAATAACTCTAGTTGTCAGAAAATGAGGGATGATATGAAAATCAGACAAAAAAAAAGTCCAAAATTTTTTAATATCCTCTAGGAGCAGCTAATCTTGCAAGTATGCAAAAAAACATTATCTTGAAGGTAATGCTATTTGATTAGAAAACTATCATTGTCATATTTAAAATATTTTTCATATTGAAGTCACCAGAGAATTAACACATTCAAAAAAATGGCTTATTTGTACTTAGTGGCTCTAAAGATACTCTTCCTTGGGATGGTGGAACAATACTAAATATTTCTGTGTTGGAAATGTCTATGTTTGCTGTTCTGATGAGTCAAAAGTGTGGAAGTGCCAGCTCTGCTAATTCAGGCAAAGCTCTGAGAGCTTTCAAGCAGTTCATTCTAAGTATTCAGCCCATCTGCCCAATCCTTTTCACTCAGACCCAGGCCTGGACTCATCCACAGTTTCTGCACAGCATGTGCAGAAGAAAAGAAGCGAGGCAGAAAGTGTTGGCCAAATCTTGTTCCCAGACTCCATCACCTTTCTATGGAGGAATTATGCATGGACAGAGTCCAGTATCCCATGGACAAGTTTAGCGGAGACCAGTGTGTTAGCTCAAGCCTCACAGGTGGCTGTGATGGAAGCAGTGGAGGTGTAGTCTGCATGGAGATAGGTATAAAACCAACCCTAATCTCTGTATTCTGATAATTTTTTTGTCATCTTTGGTTTGGTTCAATGAAATAGAGAGGAGTTAGTGAGAGATGCTCCTCTGGGGAGCTGAGTGTGAGGAAATGGTGATTTGCAAGGCAGCAGGGAGGTGGCTGTTGGGGAGAGCAGGCTTTGGGAGGTGGAGAGTTGGGTGATCATGCAAAGGGAGGTTTGTAACTACATGTAATATGGAGCAGGGTCTGTGGTGGCTGGTGCCTCTAGATTATCAAGTCTCCTATTAAAGGGGAATTATTAGGTTGTGTCTTTGATGTGGGAAGTGGGGTGAATTGCTGCTTTTAATAGAACTTTATGAATTTTGATTGTACTATGAGAAATGTCACCTTAGCTCTGCAAAATCTGCATGGGGATGAGCTGTGCTTTGTGATGATGGCTCGGTGTTTTCGGGCCACAGCCCCTCTGAGCAGGTTCCCCATGACCTGCTCCATGCACACAGGAGTGACCAGGCTGCACAGCCAGGGCTGTCCCTGTGCACACCAACCCAAGGGACATGGCAGGAAACACAGACAGCAGAAGTGCTGCCACCGAGCTGTCCCTGAGGTGCAAGGCTGGTCAGCTGCAGGGTCTCTGCAGCCCTGACTGGGGAAAGACCCACACCTCTGCCCTCCACAAGGAATTTGGCTGCATGGCAGGGAAAGTCCCAGAGCTAGGAGTGGGAGAAAAGGGCATGTCCTGCCCCATTTTCAATCTGTCCCTACAGAAAAGGCCAGTGTTCATCCACCATGAGGAAACTTGATTTCCAGGACCTGCTTTGAGGAATGTGGGCTCTCCTGGGTCGCCAGTGAATCACAGTAACACTGAAATCCTTGGTAAGAGCATATCCCAGACTGATGTGAAAGCACAACTGTTTTGCAAAGGTTCATATGTAAAAGGGTAGATAGCAGATAATTTCCTATAAGAGATTTAACTTAGTGCTGATTTATTTAAACTGGCCAGAGTTGTTTGACAGGGGAAAATAATTTTTCAGAGGACTTAATGTAGCAAGTAAGAGCAGGGTCTAGAGAGACCACATTCCTAAAAGACAGGGAAGAGGCAAGAGGATTGACATATGAAGGGATCATCTGTTTTTGGAGAGAGAAACAGAATACAGCAAGACAAATTGTGCTTGGAAGCATTCCCCACACACTGGGTGAACCTTTCTTCCTCACCTGAATTGTCAGTTCCCTGCTGTCCTCCTCACTGAGCTGCTCCTCTGTGCTAATCAAGACACACTATTTTCTCCACACACAGTGCTGATTTCCAGCAGGAATTCAGGGAAGGCATTAACCTGGCCACATCACACTATGGACTCAACCAAGCAAAACATCTAACCGTAGGGACAACAGGCAAACATAGCCTGGAATGATGGATCACAGTAAGACAAATCCTGCTCTACTTCTAGCAAAGAAATATTGAGTATTGTTGCTACAAAATTATGGAAAATCCTCCACTCATGAGAATGCTTGTTTTGCCTGAATGCCATTTTTAGCACTGGTGTATTCCCTGACCAGCACAAAATGCTTAAAAAGAAATTGCAGGTAAATCTCTATACCAGGGATATCACTCCAAAATGGACTACCCTTGCTCCTTATTTGGTAGACTTGATTTAAATTTGAAGCATTAGCTTTTAGTTGCTTCCCAAAATCTTTTTCCAGCATTAATTCTCTGAAATTTATGCTATCCAACTAAATTTCAAAACCATGTGTGACAACTATTCCTAGAACTGTTGCCTGAAATATCTCTCAGCAATGTGAATACCAGTAATATTAACTCTTGCAGTACATGACACATTTGATTACCCTCGTTATTCAATATCCAATTTTTATTTACCAGGGACAAGCCTTTATTACTTTGCAATTGTGTCTCTCTTGAAGTGACTCCACTGTGATGACTGAAATACGTGTCCAGGCTGCAAATACGAAACCCTCATTGTCCTCCAGACCAAAATCCCCATTTCATGTCAGACTATACTGAGCTTCACAGGCACTGAAGGCACAGGTGCCCCACAGCCCCGAGCAGGCAAATCCCATAAACTGACTCAGAGAGGGTTTTCCTTCCAAACAATTGTCTGATAAAGACTGAGGGTCAAGCCTTTGGTTACAAATTCTCCTTCACCTCTGCTGGATATAACAATCCTCCTCTGTTTATTTTAAGCTGAATGGTATTAGTAGAATCTATTTTATTTAGAACTGTTGATCCAGAGTTACTTGAACTGCTGAATTGGATATTTTAATCCAGTTCAAATTAATTTTATACATTCATGAAGACCTCTTATTAAATCCCTCTCTGTTACTCTGGGTTAACAGCAATCTTAAACCAATGTGTTTATTAGCTATGCTTCAGTAGAACTCCTTTAAATGTGGCAGATAACCATGAAGTTTGAATTGTTTTCATTTTTCCTGTACCAATGTACTGTACTCCAATATCAAGCAGTTTCCTCATGTCTTCATGCTTAACAGAGCAGAACAGAAATTAAGAGAACAAAGAAATAAAAGAGGAAAGTCTTTGAGTGCTAATTTCCTTACCTTATTTCAGTAGCAACATCTAAAGGTCATGTCTCATTCTAAGCACACCATCATCCACCAAGTCTAAAGAAATATTTCAAGTAAATGTGAAAATATGCCAGTGTTACAACTGCATGCTTCATTACATTGATACAATTACTTTTTAAATTCAGATTTATTTGTGTGAGAATGCGATATAATGCAATAAATATACATTTAATTTAAAAAACAATTTAATTTGCTACATTTCCACTGAGCATTAATAGCAGAGCTGAAATGGTTTATTCCAAATACAAGCAAAACCATCAAGATCTGGAATAGTTAATATCAACTTACCTGATTTCTCATGACAAAAATTATTATCTTCAGAGCCTATATAACACTGGAAGTTATTGCCAGTTCTTAATAAACACTTTGTGAAAAATGTTGAGTAGACAGGCTTGATAATCTTTCCTTAAAATCCAGTGAAAATTGTTATCCTAATCCCTGAAGGACCAACTAGAGGTAACACAATTGTAAGCACACAAAGTGCCTGTTGAATCCTGCATGGAAAGGCTCTGTGGCAGGTCAGGTGGGGACTGGAAGCTCCTTTTGGCAGTAGAATTGAATTGTGGAGGATTTTTTTTCCCTTTTAAAGGAACAGCTCTGCTTACTGCAATTAGACCCATGCCACCTTTGATGGTGAGAAGTAATCAAGGGTGAGCCCCCCTGGTAAAGCTTTAGCCATCCTTCATTTCAAGCAAGGGACATTGTCAAGAGGGCAGAGATGACACCTGAAGTGTATTTTATGTGTGGAACCTCAAAAGGAATAAAATGTCAGTTACAACAGGAAAAATAGCCTGGAATCATGGTTAAGTGGTGAGGAAGGAAGAGAGGTCTGGTCAGAGAAATGACATAAGGCAATTTCAGTGATGCTGAGTGATGTTTAATAGTATCCGAGGGAAGATCACTGTTGGAAACAGTCAGCAAAATTCTGCTACAATTTACTCCAGCGGGCTGGAAATAATTTCTCTGAAATCAGTGAGTTTAGAGGCAGCACATTTAAAAGCCAATGATCATCTGTTCAGTTATTTCATCACAATCCACCAAACTTTTCCATTTATGAAATCACTCAAAACATAGCAATTAACA